GGAGGCTAAGCCAGCGCTCCTTATATCATCGTGCGCGGCGCTAGGGCTCCAACTATTTAGTTTTCATTTACACCTCCAGGTAAACTAAATGGAAATGATAAGAAAACGTTTAGTAAACGTTTATTACCGTTTAAAAACAGTTAAAAATAGTAATATAATAATGTAAAATGATCAACAATTTTATGGTACATACTTGAGTTTATAAGGTTTATTCAACTGAAAGATGGCATTTTCTCACTTGTAATACTGTTCTAGATGGGCCTGTAGGGCAAGATTCACTACCTTTGGCTTATTTGATGCCAGATCATGTGATGGATTCCTTCAAGAAGAAGCCTACAAATGCAACAACTATCTATATTTATGTAGAAGGTATGTCCTACACTAGTGTGTATTTGGTAGCCAGATATATACCTGGTAGTAACATAGTTATGAGCATGTCTGCTATTGTTATCAGGGAATAACCATTTAAACCATTTGTTTTCATTTATTTACCATTTACATACCACAGTAAACTAAATGAAAATAAAAACGCTTATAACCGTGTACAAACGTTTGTACACGGAAATGGTTGGAGCCCTACGTGCGCCACACTTCGGGTGTAAGAGGTCGAGCGACAACTTGAAGGGACAGATTGAGATAGACGGGGAGGTGATTATTGATGAACTTGAAGAATAGCATACGATTCCGGTTGCAACGTTTGCGCGCAATGAAACTGTTACGTGCCAGTGCATATGGTCTTAGCGATGGCGGCGTCCGGTTCGGCTTTCCGGTTCGAACCTGAACCGGACCGAACCGAACGCGCGTTCAGGTTCAAGGTTCAGCGTGGGGCTGAACCTGAACCTGAAGTTCAGTTCGGTGTTCAGCCCTCGGCTGGCTCCTCCGAACCCGGTTCGAACGTGTTCGAACGCCGAACGCCGGAGGGTCCGGACCGCCCGGCTACAGGCCAGAATTTGGCGAATGGGGATGTAGCCGCCGAGCCGGCTAGCCGGAGGTAACCGCCAAACTGTCAATCGATGTCGGGCAACATCAGGTGGTGCCTATGCGAGTTGTCGGAGTCAAAAGCGGCACGACCCGGATTGACGAATAGCGGTCCTGGGCCCTGTCTTCTTCACTGGTCAGTGCCAATAGTCAAGAGCCAGATGAGTTGCAGCTGGGGGGCCTAAGAAGGAACCACTATAAGAAAGGTAAGCACAAACATGTCTGAAAATGGGCACAAAAATTGACAAAATGCAATATTTTGATTGGCACCACAGGTTCAGAGTTCGAACGCGTTCTGAACTCGAACCGAACCACCCTGAACCTGAACGCGAAGTTCAGTTCAGAGTTCAACCAAAGCCCAAACCTGAACCGAAGTTCAGGTTCGGGGTTCAAGAAAAACTGCCCTGAACCCGAACCGAACCGAACCTCCGAGTCGCCATCTCTATATGGTCTGCGCGAAATATGCAGGGGACAGAAATACACGAAGGAGTTTTTTCGTCTTCGAGTTCGAAAGAATGACCGCGGAAGTGAGCGGAATCTTACATCCAGCGTAAGTCGAAAGCAGACAGCCCGTGGGGATGGACTATATTTGGAGGACAATCAAGCAGGAGCCTGAGATCCGTGCTGGGCGTTATCAGAAGGGAAGTGCAGAGGTCCGTCCATATACGCACCCCGCGACGCTTCTTTTCCCTCGTAGACAGCGACCCCACATTGAATATTGAGCCATATATACACGTAACATACACCGCCCTTGCGGCCTTCTACGCTTGCACAGTGCGGACGGCCTGAAAGGTGCCGCTGGAAACAGAGAAGTTAGGCGGGTCAATAGAGATTTGTTGATGCTGAATGCATAGCACCGGTAGTCTGATATCTTGAAAGTAGAGATGGAAGCGAAAGAAGGAACACAATCTGCTGACTCATCAGGCTGACGACTCTTTTTTCTCTTCTCCACCACGACGACCACCGCCGTCAGACGCTCCAACACACGTTTGAGGACGACCGAAGTCAACGTACGACTCATCTATTGCTCCACCGCCGCTCAAATCCACTCAAAGCTGACGTTGATGTTCTTCGATGTCGTGCCCAGGCGCGCCATTTTCGACAACAGTAACCTCCCCGAGGACGACAGCAACTTCGCCCAGCGAAAGGACGGACCTCGTGGAATGAGAAGCAGAATGTGTTTTGCCGTTTACGCGGAGGATGGAAGCGCTACTTGAGAATGAGGCACCTGGAAGGTCCGTCTGCGCTTTCTTCTCCATGCTTCCTCTGGGCTTACAGCCACCCAGTCTCCACGCTGCTCCGCTATCCTGTATGAGCCTCCACTAGTTCTTCAACCCCCAGTACCCTTATTCGTCCCAGCCACGAAGCAACAACAGCTTTCGCCCTCGCAGACACGACCGTTGTCGTCTAAAAGCGCCAATGGCATCGTGCTGGAGCCTTAGACGCAATATACAACCGTAAACAACGAATTCGAGCGACATCTGATACTGTCGCCACTTGCCTATTGCTTTTCAGTGAGTCGAAACTCGCTTTTGTCCCATTCGTCGTGTCTCTTATCGTTTTCCTGCTCTTCCCTGGCTACTATATCGCTTCTAAAACCGCTCCATTCCTCCGACACCTTTTCCCCCGATTACTGAACTTGTCCGTGTCCTCGCCCATTCGCGTCGACTTTACCCCTTCATCCACTCAATGCTCAATTGTGTTGCTCTGGCGGTTTTTCGCATGTCAATCGAACGGGAGGGCTCTTTCGGAGGCATACGCGCCCCCCCATTGTGGCTATACTGGTCGGCTCCGACGCAAACGTGTCCACGATATCACATGTGGCGGCCGTGACGCTTGGATGTGCGCAAGCCCTCACGCTTTCGCCACTTTCCTGACGTAGACGGTGCTTGTGAGGCCATGCAACTTATCTCCTTCCTTGCCAACACACTTATCGCTTTCCATTTTCGTCTTCAGGCTTGTGGTATACACCTCCATGCATCTTCCCTCGACTTTCGTAGCTTCTCGAAAAGCAGTCTGCTTTGCATATCCGTGGTTTTCCTCAGTGGCCAGGCTGCTTCTCGCCTCTAATCTCCTTCGATATCGAAGCTCTTGCACGCGGCACACAGCACCTCCATTTCTCCCACTTCTATGGCCATCGCCTTTTCTTGCACCGGCTACATCATCGCCGTCGGGCAAGCATTGTCGAGTTTACGGGTACTACGCGGTTGATAACGGCCACGTATGACTACGCTCGCCCGTTCTCCTTCAATATCCAAGCGTAAAACGCTTTTGGCGCGCTGTTACCGTTCGCGGGTCACTCGCCGTCAGTCGATCCCGCTGTTTCCCGGTAGCCAACGGCTTTTGCTGCTATGAAAAAAAAACGGGCCGTTATTTGTCCTTTGTACTTTTCCGTTTCGTTCCATCCCCTCTACCGTCTCCTTCCCTGTTTTGTTGTTGTCCTACTTATTCCGCCCATACATGTATTTTGCCTCTCTGACCATTGATTCGCATGAACTGACTGTGTCCAAAGGCTTATTTTTATTTAAGGCTATGCAAGGTGCCCTTCTCCATATGGAAAATCCAGGGATGGAACTGCACCTGGGCCTTATTTCCACTTTCCTGGATGGCAAAAACTGCCTGGGCTTGAGTCATATTGTCAATCTGGTAAAGATAGTAAGATGGCTTAGATGGCTCATTTTGTCATGACCGATTCAACAGGCCATACCTGCATCTGGACATTTGCCTCCATCAAGATATTAACTGCTCGGTCCTTCTCCTCCAGCGGCAACTCATTGAGCTTGAGTTTGCGGGAAAGGGCAATGAGGGGGGCCAGCCAGCGCTCGATAGGAGTTGATGCTGCAGTACTAGTTGAACTTGTAGGCCGGGGGATGGGCTCCCGTGAGGCCAGCCAGGCGGTTTCAACGCCCCCGCAGTTGGTGTGTCCGACTACAACAACTGTCAAGTTTCAGCTGGTAAGTGATCAACTCTGATACAGAGATGGACAGGCTTACCATGTTCGACATGCAGCACATTGATAGCATATTCCATGACGGCCTGACTATTGTCATCTTTGAGTGGGAGCTGGCTAAAGCACAATCCTTCAGTATAAGCTCACTGCCCACTTGGTCATGAACTCACTTGGCGATGTTTCTGTGCGTGAATATATCCCCCAGCCCACAGTCACAGATCTTGGTCTCGGCAACTCGGGAATCGGCGCATCCGATCCACAGCACCTGCCAGGGGGTGTTGAGAATCCGAGTCGTCTTCAAGTTTATAGCAAAGATGCTTACCTTGGGATGCTGTTTCTCCTCCACCAGTCTTGTGAAGTAGTTTGGATCCAGGAGCGTCATCGCCCCTGCCCACGTCGCATTCCGGGCGAGCAGCTGGCTGGGATCAGGGGTGTCGTGGAAGACAGCCTCGCTGTTGCTGGCGGTGGCTCTGAGGAACGCGTAAAGCAGGGCCGACGTCTGCGACCCGGCGGAAGCGCTGGCAGCCATAGGTGACTACTGGTGGTTTGCTGTCTCGCAGCTCGCTTTAAGTATCCCCAAATGCATGCGAGATGCCAGAGAGCCATGACAGTTAGCTGTTTCCGAGCTAGAATGTTCCTGGCGGAGCAGGACAGAAACGCTAAGGCTATACCACTGGTACCGAAGAGCTAGGGAAGACGGGCTGGTGTCGCAATGCCGCTGATGTGCTGCGGCCGGCTTCCGCGCCGGGGACGTCCGGCATCCAGCGGGGAACATGTATTTGCAATCTAAGCGCCCTGGCAGCCATCTCATGATCTCGATAGCACCGAGTTAATCGTGGGATCATGATCCGACGGGGGGGTTTCACCAAAAAAGCCTCTGCATGGGAATCGGGATGATCAACGAGCGGCGCGTGAGAATGAAAACACCAATGTTCATGATTTACGAGACCGCTACCATTTGCTACAACACCGAGAGAGGACACAGACAGGAGAAGAATAAAATCCAGAGAGGAAATGAGCAATCTTAATCCGCAAGAAAATCTACCAGCAGGAAATGGATTAACGCATTCCTCTAAGGTGGGCTGCGATAACCAGTCAGTTGTGGGGCAAACAGGAGAACCGCAGACTACGCACACCGGGGCCACGCTCGTCACCGGACCTGGGAAGTGGTGGTCAATCTGTTTGCCTGTTGTCATCATCAGGGGAAAAGACGTACCAGGCGCGGCCGTGAGCGTGGGGAACGGGGTATCGAGACAGGCAGCTTGCACGTCCTTCATCGTCTTTCCCGCCGGGAGCATCGGTGTACTGCCGGCCGGAAGCGGCTTCGGCACGGGGATGACGTCTGGGATACGGACGTCAATAAATACTGACATGGAAACCCAAGACATACCCGAGCAGTCGGTGAGCAGCGCCCGGATCTGCCCGAGCGTCGCGAGCTTCGCCATCGCCGCGCGGAAGCGGCCGATCATGAGCTCGTGGTCGGCTGCGGGGCGGTTGTGAGGCAAAGCGAGAGCGAGGGGCAGCACGCACTGATGAACGACTGCCACTGGCAGGCGGTTCTGTGCAGAAATTCAGCCAAGGATCAACTGCAACAGTGCACACTCACATGAGGTTCCGCGCGATCGCCGCGTCGGACTGCAGCCGGAACTCGCCGCGGAGCGGGGACTTGAGCTCGCCGACGTTGCTCCCATTGCCCGGGAACGACGTGCCGACAAGGAGCGTCTAGCGGGGCGTGAGTTACCTGCCGATTCGTCGGTGTAAAACCAGACCCACCTCGATGAAGAACTGCGAGTCAAACACTCCCGGCGTCGAGTCGAACGGCGTGCCCTTGGTTCTATCAACACACCACACCAATTCGAAATGAAAAAGTGCGCTTACCGGGATCGTCGGATCGACATGGTCCTGCGCCGCGACCGTATGGCTGACGAGCAGGTCGACGATCTCGTTCGGCGTGAAGCCCGCGTCAGCAAAGCGCAGAAGAATCGAAAGAATCGAGTCCTGTGGTTCAGGGACAAGCTTGTCGGGCGAGGGGCGCGACGAGTTGGAGCGCCCTGCGAGGAACTCCAGGCGGGGCGCCCCGGGGCAGTTGGTTATCCCGACGGCGCCGGCGAATTGGATGCTGATAAGTAGCCACGTCAGTGATAAGATGATCGGCAGTGTAGCCAACGCACAAGTCGCCGAAGGAGACCTTGTGCGCGATGGCATACGGTCGCTGCAAATCCACGATGTCGTCTTGATGTCGATGCTTAGTGCCAGATGATGTTTGCACTCAGAAACATACCGATTCCGTTGTTGGCAGCTGGAGAGTGAAGGATCAGGATTGTACTGCGATTGTTCTTTGATGAGACGTACGGAAAGCGGTTTCTATATCCGAGTGCGCCATGATCGAGCCGTCTATACATCAAAATGAGCGAAGGCTAGATGGGAATCAGCATCCTACCGGCTCCGCCACCGCTGTAACAGAGATGACCCGTCAAATCATGACGATGACAAGCAGCGCGCAAAAACGTACCCAAAGTCGCCTTCCAAAAACATGAGCGGAGAGAACCCGATTGCGTCGTGGAAAGTCAGCTTGAAAACAGAATCAGCATGCAAAACAATACCAGTGCAGCTCCGCGTACACGAAGGGACTGCAAATTTCACGGAGGTGTTGAGCATTCCCGCTGCAGACAACAGACTCGTCAAATACCTCATGAACCTCTTCGCCTACGGGCCGAGATGAGTGAACAGATGCTGTTGGAGAGCAGGGGGAGCCACGAACCGCACTCTCCGCCGTCAAAGCTAGCAAAATCTAAGCACCAACATGCGGCCGCGGGCAGGGGAAGAACACGTACAGATTCTCCTGGATGTCGTCGAGGACGTCGAACCAGACGCAGCACGACGCGTGTGCGGTAGTCCGCCCGCCGCTGCAGGTAGCGCGCTTCTCGGGCTGTCCCGGGGCGGCAGAGGCTGCGAGAGCGAGAGCGAGAGCGACGACGGCCACAAGCAGAGAGGGCTGCATCGCAAGCTGGAAGCACGCTGCAGATATTGGGTGGGTCCCCTTTTAATCGAATGGCTGCGGCACCGAGGCGACGCGTCTATTTTTGCGTCCCGCCGGCTGGAAGGGGGGCCCAGAAATAGCCGGTCGCCGCGTCGATGCCAAGCAGGCTGGCTGCAGCACTGGTGGCGTCCAATGGTACAAGCGCTCCAGAAATCCGGGCACAGATGCAGCTCGGGAATGCACATAGCCAGCACCAGGCACCAGTGCTGCGTCCCGAAGCGGCAATTGCGACACAGAATCGAAGAGCTACCCATGCGCCACAGAGGACAGCGCGTCGAACAACCAGTTCGACGTGCGTGCGGCAATCTAATCTATGCTTCTCGCAGCGTTTCGCGTGAGGCAGCCCATTTTTGAGTGCTGTCCGAAGTGACATCTGAAGACGGCCTGCGAAATGCGCATCGTCAGCGGCCAATCGCGGATAAGATTAGACGCACATTTTGACTTGACAGCGTGGCTAAAACGAGCCGGTCCGAAGAATACCCGGGGCGCGAGTCGTGGTTTCGAGTGCGATAACGGGGTTGCGACAAGCCACCATGTGGGGGGTTGAGATGGTGTGGTTGGCAGTTCGGGAAAGTCGTCTTCGAAGCATATTTCTAGGCGTCGAATGACCGGCGTGTGGGTTTTGTCCAAATTGAAATGCGGTTGGTGGCTGCGAGTTCTATGGGCACGGCTGACAACGAGTGCAATGATGCGGTAGCAACACTTATCTCACCGGTTAAGCCCCTGAAAGATCGAGGAAGCATGCCGAAAGAGAGTGTGGGATTACTCTTTGAGGTCGTTTTTCTCTTCAGGACCGCGGCCCCGCAGTTGCGGGACCGACCCCAGCTGCAACAATACACCATTAAGATATTCAGGCCACTGTCCATTCCAATGTGCTAAGCTGTCGGTGCGTGGGCTGGCCTTAATCGTTGTGGATGACGCGTCGTGACTCAAAACCAGGATCTGTCGACGGCAACCCGCTTTGGCCGTTTGCATCCGTCGAGTCTCTGGTGGATAAAACAGCTCTCATCATAATGAGGGGGTATGTGACCAATAGCCGCTGGAATGCTTATCTCGATGTTCCGGCTTTGTGCAGCGTGCTTGCAGATCACCACTTCCCAGACATCGAGACTTGAGAGCCGCTCAAAGTCCATTCCTTCCTGTCAGTGGATTGGACAATGCAAGTCGAGAGCCCTGAAATCTCGTCAGTTTCTCGTTGCTTTTTACGATTGGACAGCATACCCGCGCAAAATTTCGATTATAACCTCAGACCTAGGTTCTTTAGACACCGTCCCGGAAATGGCAATTGCAGAACTGGAGCGATGCCGAATATGGCGAAAAGATATGCCCGTCATCAACAGAAGGCAGGAGTGGTTTGAATGAATTTAAGAGCAGTTTGATACTAAGCAACATGCTCGACGGATGGAGTGCCTCCGCAAAAAAGGCATAAACGCCGCGAAAAAAAGTCAACAATGGATTCAGCGATCATGGGACAACTACTGCCCGAGGTCGAGTCCCGAGAAACGTGGATAAGAGGTTGAAAGGCTTGTGCGTAACGGATGGTAAATGCGAAAAAGAAATAGAGCGCGGCCAGCGCGACATGGCGGGATTGTAATTGTAGGAGGATTTGTATGGCATGTGTCGACATTGTTCGGGTCGGTGAATACAGATGACTTCGTGGAAGAGTGTGTGTGAAAGGAAGGCCGCAGAAAAGATGGAGGAGGCCTCTTTTGTCTTTGGAGCCGCCAGAGGAAGCAATGGGTTTGCCTCCGGCGATATCCCCTCGTAAAGACGTAGAAACAGATGTTGACGTTTCCGGACGGCGTAGCTGACGAGACATATCCGTGACCGAGTCCCTTCCAGATGCGTTGCTGAATGAGAGGAGCGACATCGCAGGGTAATGCGCGGCGTTGGACTCGCTTTTGAGTCCGTACCATCCTCGAAAGGAGCGGCTTATCATGCTGGAAACGTGCGGAAACACGCGCTGCGGCCCGCGGATGGCTCTAAGAAGCCGGCAGGAGTGTTGCTAAGGGGGGTCCGGGTGGGTGTGGGTGGGCGAAAACCGAGTAGTGGAGTTCTGGTCGGGAGGGAGTAGTGAGCGAAATACTACGAACAAGAGACGGTGAAAACGCACCAAGTTCCACCTCCAGGACATCCCGCCGCGTCTATTCCTTCCCCTCCTTCCAAGTTCAAGTCGGTCAATGTGTGTAGGTTCCTTGTTCAAGTTCGCGCCGACAAGCAAGGACGAGGTCACGAGTCTGGAGTGCTGAGTGAATGATGGGTGAAAAGCATAGTGCTAACCGCGAGTGCATTGCGAATGGGATGTGTGTATTGTGGATCTGGGCGAATGCGAGAAAACAGGCATTCGGTCCGACATGGCCGTCGGGAAGAGGAGTGTCACGGCGTGACTAGTGCCGTGACACTTGTCCTCGACCGCATGGCGGTACGCTCGGCTCTACCTCAGGAGCTCATCGACGCCATTATCGATAACATCTTAGACAAGCCCACGCTCCGCGCGTGCACGCTTGTTTGTCGCTCCTGGCTCTTCGCCAGCCGACACAATCTGTACACCAAACTCGTTCTCCGCGGCGAAGACCTCGACGACTTCCTACACCATGTCGACAACGACGTTTTCCGCATCAGCCTCCGCCGCCTAGAGCTTTACTTCTGCGAAAACGGGCCGACACAAAGGCTCCTCCGCCGTCTTCCCGACTTCCTCCGGCTCACAGAATTACGAATCGACTCGACAATGTATTCCTTAAACTTCCCGGAACTTCATAGCATACAGCGTCTAGAGCTGTGTCTGGTACAATTTGAAAGCTTCACGCACTTCACAGCTATGCTTGCGTCTCTTCCCAGACTGAAGCATCTGGCAGTGGAGGCGATGGAGTGGGCCGCCGCGCGCCCTGGCTGGGCAGCGGTAATGAATACAGAGGTTAATAGCCCACATCCTAGGCTCCAGCTGGAGACGCTGGACCTCAACATTACGACGACGCGGCCCACCAGCGAGGTGTACTTTTTTGACTGGCTGAACAACATGACGACGGCGCCGCGAACAGCCCACCTCGTGCTCAACCTCTCTACCGCACCGAGAATATCATTCGCCCCATTCCACCCGCCGATACAGTTGACCGGCTATCTCCATCACTGCCGTGCGGACATCACCAGCCTATCGCTTTGCTTCGATGTCTTCTGTGAGACGGTCTTATTTTACTATTATAAACTGTTGACAATACATATCTAGTGCAGGCTCTCACTGGACATGCGTTCAACCTCGGCCTTCTGCGTAATCTACAAACCCTCCACATAACCTTCGACGGAAACAGCTCCCTGAGCTCCTGGAAAGCCTTCCTCCGCGACATCCTCCCCACGCTCCTTGAACAGCTCCCCACTGACTCCCCCCTCGCGCATCTTTCCCTCGACCTCCTCGCCCACATCGGCCTCATCGTTCAGCTCCCTCCACTAGACCTACAGCGCCTCGCGTTATGCCTCGACTCTGCACAACTCGGCCGGCTGCGGATGCTCCAATTCACGGTGCTTTGCGTGGGCCATCACACAGACCAACACGGTGACAAGCCTTCAGCTTGTTGTTGCTTGTTTGTGCTTGTTTGCTCATATTTGGTAGTTGTTCCTGATCTCTCCCTTTATGCGTTCCTTAGTTTCTATATGGTTCCTTCTGTAGTTCCTGTTCCTTTCTCCTAGCTCCTAGTTAGTAGGGTATATAAGCCTGTCTCTAGTTAGTTCATCATATCATATAGTTTCCCCCAGCAGAGTTTCCTCAGAGTTCAAAGTCTTCCTGAGTCTTCTTCTCCCTCTCTGGTTGTGCTGTAGCCTTTGGTTGCAGTTAGAGCAGTTTGAAGGGCTCTTGCTTTTCTTGTTCTTTCTCACACCAGTGAGAAAGCTTGTCATTTTGGAGCCCACCAGAGGGTACTTCAAAGTGCATCCGACACACCTCTTGGTTCACAGCACAGCTACGTAACAGTCTCAGAAATCGGTCTATTACTCCCCATCTACTACAGCTTGGATCTACGCTCACTCTACTCCCCCTCGGCTCTCCACCTCGACACCCCCTGCTTCAGCGCACCCCTCCGACCTCCTCTCCAACCCCGCCTCGCCCCTCGCTCATCGCGCTTCGCCTCGCTGCACTTCCCAGCATGCCAACAACCTCCGCGCCTGCCGCCATCCCGATGCCCCGCACGCGGCGCGTTGACTGCACCCACATTCGACCCTTCGAAGCCTTCGGAGCTGCGACGCTACTTCTCGGATGTCGAATACCTGCTCGATCTGGCGCAAATCAGTGATGAGCAACAGCGGAAGAAAGCTTGCGCGCGGTACCTGCCAATGGACGACCAAGAACTGGTCGAAGGCCTTGACGAATTTGCTGACACAACCAAGTCCTGCGACGACTTGAAGATTGCTACGATGGCGCACTATGCTGGCAACGACGAACAGCATCTTTACACGTTGAAAGAATGGGATGCGCACCTGAGTGCCACAGCCGCCGCTGGCATACACTCAGAAAACGACCTTGCCATCTTCTACCGTTCGCTTGTCCGCATGGGCAAGTTCTTGATCTCGAAGAACCGGCTCTCCGAGACCGAACAGAGCCGCGCATGTCTTCGTGCACTTCAGCCCGCATCCCTCCATACTGCCGTCACACAGCGTCTTCAGATTTTACGGCCCAGCATTCCCCTCGACGACCCCTACGACGTGAAAGACGTCTACGATGCGGCGAAATTCGTGCTCGCGGGTTCGTATTCGCGTACGGAGCCCCCGCCACCTCTGCAGCCTGTTTCTGAGCGCCCGCCAAGCTCTGAAAAGCCGCATTCTGCTAGCCAACTCGAAACAGACATGAAAGTGCTGCTCACCTCAGTTAACCAACTCGTCGCTCTCCTCGCCAGTCAAACACGCGAGCCCGTGGTCCAAACTCCAGTCCAAACCTTCTACCATGCGGTCCCTAGCCCTGCGATTGTCCAGCGCCAGCCCGGCTGCTCATACTGCAGCGGAATCTCGCACTTCATTCGCGTCTGCCCACAGATTCGCGAGGACCTACAGAATGGACTAGTCAGTCGCAATAGCGAAGGCAAAGTCACCTTGCCAAACGGACGGTACCCGGCTCGCGACCCACGACTCCCCTACTTACGCGACCGCATGCTGAAATGGCATGCAGAGCACGCCGCCGACCCCACATCTCGTTGTCGATGTTTTCCCCCATTCCACCACTCCCACCACTTCCACCCGAGCTCCCCTCCTCGAATCGTCGTCCGTGAGCGACGAACAACGTCTTGAAGCGATTGCCATCGAGCAGCGCGTGCTGCAGGCCCGTATGGCGGCGAAACGAGCAGGAGAGGAGATGAGGGCGGAAGCAAATGAGTGCACAGCCCCGCCCGGCGATCAGCGATCACCGCCCGAAGGCCGATCTTCCCGCTAATTTCGCCTCGACATCCTCGGACAACTCCTCCGAGCGTCCCGGTTACCTTCCTGCTCCAAGATTTCGCGCCAACGGCGAGCGACAAGCTGTCCCTAGCGACCACAAACCCGGAACCGGTTCACAACACCAGCCGGTCTCCCCCAGCCTCCTTTTCGACCTCCCCCGTGCTTCTTTTAGCCGCGGCGTGTGATGCCGCTTACGTGCAAACGGACCTGGGCCGTTCAACATCTCCGAATGCTGACACGATCACAGTTGATCGACGAGCAACGTTGGCCCTAACTACCGCTGCCGCCTCTTCAACGACCTTTCCCCTTCGCTTGCTGGTGCTTCCGGTCACTCCCCAATCAAATCAACAAGATGCTTGTGTGTTTGATGCTGATCAACTGGCCGCGCTCAGCGCTTCAACGTTTCGAACCTCACTTCCGACACTTGTCTCGTGCTGCGTGTGACAGGCAGATCACCTGACCAGCATCTCTCATTGACTTAATGCCTTCAACAATTCACATATCCTTCATAAACCTTCACCAAGCCTTCCTCTCTTCTCCACCTCCTTGTCAGTGACTGGGGACAGTCACATTTTCAGTTGGGAGGGGATGACAAGCCTTCAGCTTGTTGTTGCTTGTTTGTGCTTGTTTGCTCATATTTGGTAGTTGTTCCTGATCTCTCCCTTTATGCGTTCCTTAGTTTCTATATGGTTCCTTCTGTAGTTCCTGTTCCTTTCTCCTAGCTCCTAGTTAGTAGGGTATATAAGCCTGTCTCTAGTTAGTTCATCATATCATATAGTTTCCCCCAGCAGAGTTTCCTCAGAGTTCAAAGTCTTCCTCTTCTTCTCCCTCTCTGGTTGTGCTGTAGCCTTTGGTTGCAGTTAGAGCAGTTTGAAGGGCTCTTGCTTTTCTTGTTCTTTCTCACACCAGTGAGAAAGCTTGTCAACGGGCAGCCAGCCACGAATCACTACCACCCGGCGGAGGGCTGGGACGCGGCATTAATGGAGCGCGAGGAGATGTGTCCCGCGGAGAGGGTGTTCCGGCGGCAGATTTTGCAGCACCTCCAGATGACAGGCTCCGAGTCGGCGAAGGTGCGCTGCGTCTTGCGGCTCCAGCCAGACACGTCACCCTAGAGTGACTACATGCCCAGTATTTAGGAGCCAGAGTTGGGCTGTAGGTAAGGTCTGGGATAGGCTCTACAGATCGTATAGTATATGATATGATAGGATAGGATAGAATGTGATGCACGGGGAAGATGGGGTTGGATTCTGACCCCCAAATCGACGATGTCTGCGCAAGGGCACAGAAAAGCCGCAAAGGAGGAGTCCCGAGAAACGTGGATAAGAAGTCGAAAGGCTTGGGCGGGGCGACGCGTAAAGGATGGTAAATGCGAAAAAAAGATTTGTAGCGCGGCCAGAACATGGCGGGATTGTGATTGTAGAAGGATTTGCATGGTACGTGTAGACAGTGGCCCTTCGAGTAGGTGAATAATAACGATGACTTCTTGTAGGAGATTGTGTGAAAGGAAAGCCGAGGAGAATGGGAATCACGCCTCTTTTGTAGCTTGATGGGTTTGCCTTCGGCGTTATCCCAGGTAAAGACGTAGAAACCGTAAATTCCGTTCCCGTGGACGGTGTTCCTAGTGGTTCTGTATGGGTACCCGCTGACGAGACATATCCGTGACGAGGTCCCTCCCAGATGCATTGCTGAATGAGACGAGAGGGCGGTGAACTCGCTTTTGAGTCCGTACCATCCCTCGAAAGTAGCAGCTTATTATGCTGGAAGACGCGCAAAAACACGCGCTGCACTGGTAGGGTTCAGGATTGAATTATGGGGGGTTATTAAAACCGGTTTGAACTCCCAGCCGATTTAGAAACCGGTTTGCAAACAGGGATTGATTAAAATTGCCTAAAATGGCAATTTTTGACCTTTTGAATGATTTTTTGGGCTAGCATATGTATTCACTTGGTCTTTTACACCATTTCTCAAGCTTTCAGGGTACCCCTTGCTATCCTAAGTTATATTCTGTGTTATCTGTATATGTTGTGACCCTATCACTGATGTGATGGTAACACTTGGAGCCTTTAAAAGACCTCCAGTGACATTAAATGGAGAGTAACAATAGCTGATTAGGATGTTACCTTTATAGCTGTAAGTATAGCTGCTACAGCATGAGCCAAAGTCTGTCTAAAACCAGTGAATTGCCTAATTTTCCCACGGGTCATGTGTTTTGAAACAGCACTTTTTCTGGAAATAATTAAAAACAGCGGTTTGAAACAGCTGTTTCGAAACGTGGTTTGAAACACCACTTAAATCCTGCACCCTACGCTGCAGCTCGCGGATGGCTCTAAGAAGCCGGCAAGAGTGTTGCTGAGTGGGTGTGGGTGGGCGAAAACCGAGTAGTGGAGTTCTCTCCGGAGCAGTGAGCGAAATACGAAGACCAAGAGACAGTTAGAACGCACCAAGTTCCACCTCCAGGACATCCCGCGGACTCCATGCCTTCTCCTCTGTCCAAGTTATGTGCGTGTTCCTTACCGGCCCCAAGACTGGCCCTGACAAGCAAGAACAGGTCTAGAGTGGTGAGTGGTGAGTGAACGATGGGTGAAAAGCATAGTGCTAACCGTGAGTACATTGCGAAGGGATTGTCGATCTGGGCGAAGGCGACAAGAAGGCGAGAAAAAAGAAGATAGCCATTCGGTCCGACATGACCGTCGGGAAGCGGAGTGTCACGGCGTGACTAGTGCCTTTGCACTTGTCCTCGACCACATGGTGGTACACTCGGCTCTACCCCAGGAGCTCATCGACGCCATTATCGATAACATCTTCGACAAGCCCACGCTCCGCGCGTGCACGCTTGTTTGTCGCTCCTGGCTCTTCGCCAGCCGACACAATCTGTACACCAAACTCGTTCTCCGCGGCGAAGACCTCGACGACTTCCTTCACCATCTCGACAATGACGTTTTTCGCCCCAGCCTTCGCCGCTTAGACCTCTTCTTCTGTGAAAACGGGCCTACGCAGAGGCTTTTCCGGCACTTGCCCGACTTTCCGCGGCTCACGGAATTACGCATCGACTCGACCATGTACTACTTCGATTTCCCTCCACTTCCGAACCTCAAACGTCTGGAGCTGTCCCGAGTAAACTTTGGGAGCTTCTCGCACTTCACCGTGATGCTTGCCTCTCTTCCAAAACTCAAGCATCTAGCACTGGAGTCGATAGAATGGGCAGCAGCGCGGGGCTGGGCGGCGGTGGAGGACGCAGACGACGATGTCCCGCGTCCCAGGCTCCAGCTGGACACGTTGAACCTCAACATCACGGCACGCCCCATCAGCGAAGTGTATTTCTTCGACTGGCTGAACGACAAGACGACGGCGCCGCAGACCGCCCATCTCATACTCAATCTCTCTGTCGCAAGAATCTCATTCGCCACATCCCAACCGATCCTGTTAAATGGTTACTTCCACAATTGCGGGGCGGGTATCACCAGTCTATCGCTTTGCTTCGATGTCCTCTGTGAGACAGTCCTTGATTTTACGCTTGTACTAGTAAACAGCTGACGTTGGATATTTAGTCCAAACCCTAACCGGACATGCATTCGACCTCAGCCTTATGCCCAATCTTGAAACCCTCCACATAACTTTCGACGGCGACCGCTTCGTGAGCTCCTGGAAAGCCTTCCTCCGTGTTATCCTCCCCACCCTCCTCGAGCAACTCCCCACAAACTCCCCCCTCGCACACCTATCCCTTGGCCTGCTCACTCACCACAGCCTCTTTGTCCAACTTCCGCCGCCAGACCTGCAGCGCTTCGCTGCATGCCTGGACTCTGCACAACTTGGCCGGCTGCGGATGCTCCAATTCACGGTACTGTGCGGGGGGCATCACGCAGACCAACACGGGCAGCCGGCCGCGAACCACTACGACCCGGCGGAGGGCTGGGACGCGGCATTAATGGAGCGCGAGGAGATGTGTCCCGCAGAGAGGGTGTTCCGGCGGCAGATTCTGCAGCACCTCCGGATGACAGGCTCAGCGAAGGTGCGCTGCGTCATGCGGCTACAGCCAGACACATCACCCTAGAACCAAACTGTGCGCCCAGGACCGTATCAAGGAGCCAGAGTTGGCTGTAAGTAACATCTGCAGGTCGTATCGGATAATGATGTCTGGGGAAGATGGGGAAGAAAAGGACTATGCAATATACATAAGTGATAAGTAAGAGTTGTCTAAGAAGAGTAAAGAAAAGGTACAAGCAAAACATATGCATGGTGAAGTACGAAAGGATAAAAATATAGTATGCAACGTTTTTCATCCGGGAATGCGGAGAGTGGGTGGAAAGACAATGATAATAGGAATGAAAACCCGCAAATAGTAATAGGTTCCCATCGAATGAGAACGAGCCGCAGCCACTTTGCCACGCTGGCCTCCGACCCGAAGTCGACCATGTCTGCCTCGACCGCGATAAGATGGCAGGTAAAGGCGATGTTAAAGCCGTAAAGGAGTGGAATATGGCGGGGAAATGGAGGGCATATGTCTCGTATTCGAAGGTCTCGATTTCGATGGGAATTGGAGGCAAGTACCGCTGAGGCCTGAGGGAAAAGCGAGAAAGCGGGTATGATGCTTTTCGGGGAAACGGAGGAAGTCGACGGAAGATGATGGGGCGGAGCTGATAGAGGAGGTGTAGCCGATGAGCTTCAAGGTGAAACTGCGCACATATAAGTGTGTTGTAAACAAAAGAAAAGAAATTCGGACACCAGCACGTTCCAAATTAGGCAAGTGGCGAAACCCAAGTCCTCTTCCACTAGTGCGAAGGGTCCCGAGCGCAGATGCATCCAACATGACGGCTTCCACATACGAGGCCGTTTACACGTTTGCGTCGTGGAACTGATGTATGAATCTTCATTCAGGCTTATCCACAAAATGAGCGACGATGAGGCTGCCAATGCCTCAGAAAGAGCCTTCCCGCTTGAGTGGTTTATGCGAAAAGTAGCGGGATTAACGCCATTGAGCAAAAGGTCAGGCGGCGGAGAAAGTCGTCTTCCCTCATCCCGAAGGTGCTGACGTGTCAACCATAGCTGGCGGTGATGACGACGAACGGGTTGAGGAAGGCTGGGGGTTCGCAAATGGTGTCTACAATCCGCGGTTATGAGAGGATTGGAATGGAGAAGGGGTAGGTCGATGCGATGGGTGGGTACGCAGACAAGAGCCGCAGTCGGGAAATGAGTCGTTGGAGGGATAGTGTGGATATAGAACTAAGAGAGCCAAGGAAGGGCTGGAAGACGATGAGCGACACAACAAATGGGCGAAAAGCGAGCTTCGACTCACCGAAAAGTCCAAAATAAGCAAGTGGCGACGGTATCAAGTGGCTCGAATGCGATATTGCGTCGAAGGCTCCAGCAAGATACTATGGATAGTTTTAGACGACAACGCGCGTGTTTGTCGTCAAGACGAGTGCGATGAGGCTAAAGCGCCTGGCCCACGACCATGAGTGCAGCCCTCCCAGTGTTTCTGGCCTCTCGTTGTCTCGAGATTGTGCCACATATCTCCTTGGTGGACGAAGACGCAGAGCTGTCGGCCTGACACGTCTGGCAAGAAGGTGGGGCTAAGAAGGGCCGGTGCTGGAAGAAATGTGGGGACTGAGGAGTTAAAGGGCCATTGGAGGCTCGTCCAGGAGAGTGGAGCAGCATGGAGATGTCGAATGCTGAGTACCTGTGAGCTCAGAGAAAACTTGGAGAAGATAGCGCAAACGGACCTTGGAGCCAGGTGCTTCATTCTCGACCAACCACGATTCCATCCTGCACGTAAACGATCCAATGGAGGCTGCTTCTCATCGCCCGAGAGCCTTCCTATCTTTGGGTGGAGTTGCTGTCGTCATTGGACAGGTTACAGTTGTAACTGGTGGGCCAGGCCACTCTATCGAAAAACCTCAGCGCGAGCTATGGGTAGGTTAGAACAGGATCAGAGACATGATGGAGTGAATCGTACGATGTTTTAGGCCGTCTCCAAACGCGTGCTGAGGCGTCTGCCAGTGGAGGAGACTCCAGGTGGTCGTCGTGGTCAAGATGAAAAAGTCGTCACCTTGATGAGTCAGCACTTCTCATTTGTTTCCCAGACGGGGACGCTTTGGGCACGCTGCTCAATCTACCGGAGGCGAAACCCTGCCATACCGTTCAAGAGTCGAAACCAGGAAGCGACCTCGACCTGCCACAATGTCAAGCTAAGTATGTCAGGTTATCATCTCCACAGCTTTCCGTCCTCTTCCACTTGCTCTTCCACCTGTACTTCCACCTCGATGCCCGCTTCGAACCTGGACCCACCACAGGTGTCTACCACGCCCACTTCCGCCTCCACAACACAAGGTTTATCACTGCAGACTACCACAAATCTCGCCTCAAGCCCACAAATCTTCGCCAACTCGCACAACTTCTCTGTTTCTGGCGGGACCTTCCGGGCAGAGTCGTATCATTTGCACTTTTCCGCTCCTTCGGTCGGGGAGGAGGACGAAGGTGTGTCTTGCGCGTCTCTTAACCCCAGTATGGCTGATCAACACAGACCCGACGGAAGACTTCCGACGCATCCGGTGGGGCGATTTAGACCTGCGGCACCTCCGGCTCCAGACAAATCATGGACCAAAGGATGGAAAAGCAACAGCCACCCATGTATCAAGAGCCTCGCGGTCGATGTATGCTGCTCGGGTGTATGGCTCAACGTCGGACATGAGTGTTGCCATTTATGAAGGAGACAAGGCGCAGCAGGTGCGTGTTGCTCTTCCTACCACCCAACTCACCCTCTGAATCGCGATATCGTAGGACTGGATTAGGGCCATTACAGAACATGCACATTTTCGGCAAGCTTTCGCGTGGCGTCATGATTCCACTCACGTTTAACTTCGTCCCTGGCAGAAGCCCTGCCATCCTGCAGCTATTTGGAACAGCCAGTCGGAAGGGAATATATGCTGCTGTGTTCCATGACGGTAAATATTGCTTTGACGTATGACTCAGTCCTACTGACAGGCAATTTTCAGACCTGGTACCGCCCGAGCAAATGTTTCAGGAGCCATCTATGCTCGCGACAATGTACTATCGGCAATATTTGGTGGGTTCTGCCTACTCTTGGAGTTGGTCCTAGCACGCTTGTTGATCTGCGACACAGATGCTTGAGTTCCTGGTAAGCAAAAGTGACCGGCAGACCCGCCAGAATCCTACCTCAAACAGAAAGTTGGCAAATATGTGGGGCAGAGAATGGGCATTTCGTCTGTGGTAGGTGCTTGTCCCATTGTTTCAGTGAAGCCGCTCATATTATGATGAGAAATCACCGATGTTCACGTTTTGGATGCGCTCTTCCACGCGCTGCTTAGCTCTGGAGATATTCCAAGGAGATCTCACATACTTCTTGCCACAACAGTTCGAATGCCAAACTCGGGTTGGCGCGAACCCTGAGCCGCAGATGAACCCCGTCGCAAAGGATATCCCAGAGATGATCAAGGCGTTTTCTATCCGCGACTTCCTCGCGGCATGTCTACCAATCAGGAACAGGCGCCAAGTCATTCAGTCCCGGGTAGAGCTCAATGTCGTTTCGCGCCAGCAGACGCGAATGGAGCTTCAACTACCGATACATGCGCTTCTGAGCCCAATGTATGCGTACGAGCCTGTGGTGCGGTTTTCAAGTGCCGCCAATTTCCAGAGGGGGCAGATGTATTCCTGGATAGGTCACTCATTATCCAATGATCTTCGGCTAATGATGAGGAGAGGAACCGGGTGGTCTCAGTAAGTTCTGCATACTATAGTCTATCCGTGCCTGAAGCTTGCTAATTGGATTTACCAGTGTCCCATATTCGCGCGATTCCAGCGCAGAAGAGCGATGGCAGTCGTTCCGGATTTCGATTGACACAGATGAGTGGTCGGCGCGGGGCTATCAAGATATCGAGACGACTTGGCTTGCGCAAGCGGCCTACGTTTTCAAAGAACTCGGCGTTTCTCGGACTCGTCCAGAATATTGTACGTTGTCTCAGCCACTTCAAGTTGATCACCGTACTATATAATCTCTGCAGCGCTGCCGTCAAGTGCCAGCTGCGAGGTTCGCCTCAGATCGGCACATGTGCCGCCTCTCGACACGAAGGTTGACGCGTATCTGGCCCTCTGCCCGTATTGGGAATTCCTCGACGGTCCGCTGGGTCTGCGAGTGAAACGCCCCGAGCGGGTCGCCTATTGGTCACTTGACCCCGAAGCCAGCGAGCCGCTGGTTGCAGCCGAAGCGCTTGCCCTGGGACTTCCCGCGCTTGAGATCCAGATGCATGTTTACGACCATTCATGGGACGACGCGACATATGAGGCGATTGTCGAGCTGTGCATCGCGAAGGGTATGGATCCGCACTCTCTGGATATGGTCCTGCATCTCGGACTCAGGGAGGGTGTGATACTGGACAGCGCGAGAGGAAGCATGGCTGGGAGCATCAACGGGTCACGTAAACTGTAAGCCAGGTGTTAAAGCTGATACAAGTGCTAACTGAGCACACAGAGACTAACTACATATCAGGACGTCTGAGACTCCTGAAGTTCAAGTTAATGAACTTGTAAACTTGACATGGGTCCCCGTAAAATTTCCCATGTCTTATCCAATCAGATGTCACGAAGATTGTCGGGCTCCCACGTACCTCTTTTGACTCTTGCGTCCATCCTCCCGATGAACGGCCAACAGCTGACACCTACCGAACTGCGTACACAACTCGCCGCCATCGATTCCCATATCGACACTCTCCGTAACCAGCTCGTTGCCTATATCGATGCTCGTCGCAGCGTCGTTGCCCGACTGAGGGAAGTCACTTACCGCGACATTCTGAGCTTGCCGTTTGACATTCTCGGCAAGATCTTCGCCCACTGCGTCGACGAACTCGGAGTGCAAATACCCACCGATCATAGGATCATGCTTAACCGCTGCAGCCCCCGGACTCTGGCAGCTGTGTGTAGCCGTTGGCGAGAAGTGGCACTGGGGCTACCGTGCCTCTGGTCGAAACTTCTGTTGTGGAATTGGGACGACAATACTGCCAAGGGGCAATTCAATACCTGGTGTCTGGAACAGTGCTTGACCAGATCACGGGAATATCCCCTCGAAATACACGCAATGAACAGGACCCTGTTCCCCTGGTCCAGCTCCGTCGCCAAGAGGACTGTCAAATACGCGGGGAATCTCAACTTTCTAGTCGAAAATGCTCATTCCATTATGGACTTCGAGGGCCAGGTCTCGGCACTCAGCAGTCTGTTCCTTTATATCCCGGTCCCCTGGGCGGCCTGGGCCCCGGGCAACGACTCGGATTTGACGCCGCACCCACCACTGACCCTGTTTGCAGATTCACCCGCCCTGCGCGAGCTGGATCTTCAAAATATACGAGTAGCGCAGCTCGTCGTCCCTTGGCAGCAAATTACCAAACTGTCACTCAGGCAGCTCGATCTCGAGTGCATAAACGAGCTACTAGAATGTACGCCACTGCTCACGAGCCTCAGCATAGAGGTGCTGTATGAAATCCTCGATGTCCCGAGGAGAATGACTCACGCGGAAACACTTGTTCTTCCGTATCTCCGATCTCTCCGAGTCATGTACTCCGACAAGTGTCAATATTCGTGGTCGGACAGACTTGTGCTCCCCTCGCTCGACGACCTGGACGTTTTAGGGCTGGATCTCGAGGCGGATTCTTCCCTCTCTGCTCTTTTGCAGCGATCAAGATGCCCTCTCAAATCACTTACCCTGGACTTGCCTCGGATTAGTGGGGCCGCCCTACATATCTTGGACAACATTCCAACACTAGAAGATCTGACCGTCCTCAATGCGCTGGACTTGTCAACAGCTCACGAAGTGTTTCTCTCTGTAATGAACATGGACAAATACGCAGACAACACACGCACGCTATCTGGGCTTCGCTCACTGTACATCCGCGCATTGCTCGAAGACTCAGCCTCAGCAGCGCCGTTCGTGTCTATAGCCCAGTCATTCCATGCATTCTCTCGCGACTCTTCTCCTGTTGAACTTGGGGCTCACATGTACAGTCTGCGGGAGATCGAATTCGCAGCGGTGCTGTGCTTGCCCACTCATGTACTTCGAGTTGGGGAGGAGAGCGTGGAGGTCGTGAAGCATCTGCGAGGAACGGTGGCGAATATGGCCAAGACGCGTCACTTTACGTTCTCAGCGCCTGGGTTGTATATCTCTACAAAAAAGGCGAGTGACCACTGCTTGTGTTTCTCGTATAAGTATTTACTTACCGGTGAATGTCGATCACAGTCGCCGACAGGAAGTCTGTGGGATGCGGTGGGATACTGGCCGATTGCATAGCGTGAATAGGAAACATGTATAAATGCAACAGCCACCTCTCCCTTGTATGACGATTCCCTACCACTGAACAACCGGTCTGGCTATCGCAGCTGCTATCGCAGCTGCTATCGAAGAGGTTGATATATCCCGAGATACGATCGAATAACACAATTCTAGTCGACCAAGACTCGAGGGGCCGGAAGGACTTTGGGGAATGGTCAGAAGTCATCTTCTTTACAGTCCTGCGAGGATTCTGAGTCGCCACGTCGTATTCCTACCACAAGGGTACGCATATCGAGCCCAAGGATAACTGTCCGCCCCACATATCACCCCCACTTTGCGCCAAAAAAAGGTCCTCGTACAAAATATGTCGCCCGCGAAAACGTCTCCAACGAGGGCCTTCTGCTCTGTAAGCCGGGAGACAAGGATTGGGGTTACGCAGTCCATGCTGGTGCACATGAAGGTATGGTTGGTTAAGGGGGAATCACTTTGGTGGTGAAGTTATAACATCGCCAAATCGAGCGCAAAAAGCGTGACGTGACATTCGTGACATCTTTAGAGAAGGCGAGGCGAAAAAGTGGGGTATGGACGGAAAATGAAGTGGGAAGTGGTTGAATATGTTATATTATCGATCGGGGAAGGTTGCGGAATGGGTTGGGAAGCGCTTATTCTGCGCACATCGTGTTCCTGGATCGCTTGAAGTCGTAAAAATAGCTTTCTGCTGACATTGTGCGTTTCTGAGTCAAAAGTCGCGATAGGTCAAGCCCCATGGTTGTGTCACAATACAAGATATAGCTCCTTTGCCCCCCACGCTTGTTACTGGAACGTAAAGGTCGGTTGCGGCGCCGAAAGTATCACAAGCAAGATCGTGTCCAAAGACTGCCTTCCTGGTCAATTTGCCCGGCAGCAAGAATTAGATGGGCGCAATACATGTCCACGCAGACGTAGATACACTCGTTTAAGGGCTGGACCCAATGAGCGTGGAGTTGCAACACTGCCAAATCGAGGGCAAAAGCGTGACAGTGACGTCCGTGACGGGGCACATGACCTCGGGAGGATGGCGAAAAAAAGCAGCGCGGAGGCAGGAAATGGACGGGGGGTATTGACCACGCAAGTGCAGCGACGATAGAGAGCTTGCGTGATGATTGGAACCAGGATGCCTCTCCATAAAGGATGCCTCGTTTCCCGAAAACGAGCGCTGAGCGCTGAGCCGCGAGGTCCGACTCGTCAAGCCCGCCGCCGCGTAGTTGACACGAGAAGGAATGCAGCAGTATTTCCGCAACCAGCAGGTGTCAAACATAACCTGAAAGGCGCAACGGCGAGTTTAGCAGAGGGCGACAAAGAGAGCTCTGGTGGATGCGGAAATATCGTAAAACCAAGGAATGGAGGGGAAGAGGGTCGGCGCGCGTTCGCATCTACGCCGTTCTGGAGGCTGGAGTACACAATATTTGGAGGAGGTTGCGCAGCGTGAGAGCCAGTTTGAGTACAAGGGCGACGAAGAAGGGGAGAGATGCTAGCCACAGATAGCATTGCCCGCCAAAGGCCCGAAACATCTCTATCTCTCCATTTCCGACTTGAAGTTGCCCCCAACGAGGAAAGTGCATAGCCCATCCGGTAGCAACCGCTACTCCGCGAATTCCACACATTGAGGGAAGCTCAACGCCAGTTGGAGTCGAGAGTAGGAGATGGCACCTGAGAGCGCATGTAAGAAGTCGTTTCTTGCAAGTGGGCTGCTGACATCCGAACACGGCGTGGTTGTGGTCGTATGCAATCCATCACGCCATATGCCCATCCCAGCTGTTCTCGACGGCGACGACGTGCTTCATTCCTTCATACAACATAAGCCAGCTTCCTCGATTACAGTGTCGTGCCACAGCAATGCCGACTCAATGCCATGAACTTGAATAAGTATCACAAGCGCGAAGAAGAGACGGTTACACACACACCATTAGGGAACATCATGGATTCTGCAAACAGCCCCACACCCGTCTCTCCATCTCCATGAGCCTCTGCCGTCCTGGTTAAAGGGTTGTCCGCAAGTAAGTGGAAGTAGGGAAGAAAAGTGTCACGGTTGTTACCTTCAGTCAGTTTTGACCACCAACTCAGTGTCCGCGCCAGCGTATCGACCTGCACGACCTCCCTCTTTCTGTTCAAGTCCCAGGAAAAGAAAGATAGTCCTGCTGACAAGGCAAGATCAACTAACAATAATTCAACTCGTACTTACTACTTACTCAAAGTCTCCACTGTCCACCATGTTCCCTGCTGCCTCAACCCACACCGTCTCTATTTCGGGGATTTACCCAACCATAGAGGAGCCCTTAGCCTGTCAACGCGCAGCTGTGGCCCGGATTAACGAGGAGATCGCTGCACTAAATCGGTTTTTCGATGAAACACGCGCCGCACTACACCAACAACGTGCAAACGTCGTTGGCCGTCTTCAAGCTGCCATTTTTCCTATCTCTAACCTTCCTCGCGAACTGCTTTCCGCCATCTTCATACACTGCCTGCCCACCGAGCAATATGTGCTTCCAACCACAAAAACTGCGCCGCTGCTTTTGACATCCATCTGTCGTCTCTGGCGTAATGTGGCCCTCGATACACCTGAATTGTGGGCGTCGATAGATTTCCAGCTGTCCGCTTTAGCCCTAGATGGGGATTTGTCCGATATCACGCTCAGAAGAGAGGAAGGGGTTCAACGGTGGATTACACAGGCAAAAACATTGCCTCTCTCTGTACGACTCCAGGTACGAACGTCTCAATTTCTTACCTTAGGCTGAACATCACATTGACTAACGAGAATCACAGAAACCGGCTAGTGCAGCAATCTTGGCTCTGGATTCCCTTCGCGTTTCCTTCTCGAATGTCCGCCATCTCTGTCTGCACATGTACTACCCTCAGTATTCCGAGAGCACTTTACCCGACATGACACTTGGACTTCTGCCTGGATTGCACACACTGCAGGGGCCAATCGACGTTTCAGCACACTTTCCGGCACACTCATTTTCCCACCTTCGCGTGCTTCATATCAACCACAACCCGGTGTCGACCTACCGTATCGTTGCCATCCTGCTCCAGCTCCTCAACTTGATCGAACTCTCCGTCACCAGCTCCTCAGACGAGGCGCCTGAGGAAGACAAAGGCAACATAGCGGCCCTCCATCATTCAGTTATTCCAAACCTGCAGGTTTTTGAGTTGTCCTTCTTCTACTCTGATTTCAAAAAAGAAGTGGCGCTTCTCGGCTCATTGCGGATGCCTAATCTCACCTCGCTGGACGTGTACAATTGGGTCGACGAGTTCGACAAGCTGCTGGAAGGCTGTCCTCGCCTGCGATATCTCAACCGGACATTTCATGACTGCGAAAGCCCTTTCCACTTTCTTGAGGTCACTCCCGGACTTGAAGTCTTGGTCGTTTATTTCGAGCTACCCGAGCGGATGGATGAGCTGCTTCAAATGCTGATGGAGCCCCAGGCCCTCCCCCATCTACACGCCCTGCGCATTACCTTAGGGAGCGACAACGACAGAATTCCGTGGTATATTCGCTCGGAAAGGCCGCACGTACTTGATACAAGGACCGTCATCGACTTCCTCTTCTCCCGCAGGACACCTGGAGCGTTAACGCCGCTCACGTACTTCCACATCTACCTCTCGGACTTTGCCATTCCGCTTAGCCACGTCCGCTTGACTAGTCCCGCGCTACTTGCCACAGTACCCGGCATGGTCACAGCTGGGCTAGATTTTGCCTTCTTTCAAGGCAAACCGTCTGGTCAATTCGAGGACCAACAATATATTTGGCCGATAGGCGCCAACAGTAAGCGTTTTGAAATCTCCAGCGCGGAACTTAAATGACTAATGGTTCTTGATAGTCGATGCGGAAGATAGTCTACTTACACATCGGGGTTTCGCGCCAAAACGGCCACCCAAAGCTGGACTTATATAGCAGAGATCGGGGCCGAAATCAGTGCCCTAAATTTCTGATAAATCAAAGGCCTTGATCGTGCAGCACGTGACGTCAAAATTACCTTGTTTGGTAATTTGGGCATCGAATCTGCGACGCTGATTTGTCGAAAATTGGGTTCCCATTTTTGGCACCTGATTTCTCACAAAAAAGTCCAGCTCCGGGTCGCCGTTTTTGCTCAAAACCCCGATGTGTTATTCGATATGGCTAAATCTCCGGGTTAAACATATATACATACATACAAAAACAAATCGAATACTTGAGGGCCAGTGCCAAAGGATGTAAAACTTAAATTTCGGACTGAAGAGACAGCAAGAAGTTGTGTCAAGAGTGTGTGTTCTGGGCAAATGATGTGAGGCATGTATTAAAAGACTCGGAGTGGAATTGGGCAAAAATAAGTAACTGGTCAACGAAAAGAGACAGGTGCGTCGCCCGCGAAAACAGCTCCAACGACGGCCTTCCACCTCGTAAACCCAGAAGAAAAGAATTGGGGTAGTGCAGTATGTGTTTGCGCACATGGAAGTACGGCTGGTTAAGGCTGGACCCCTCTGGTGGTGAAGATATAATGTTGCCAAATCGAGAGCAAAACGTGTGACGTGACAGTCGTGACATTTTTGGAGAAAGTGAGGCGGAAAGGTGGTGGTGGGCAGGAAATAGGGTCAGAAAGTGTTGAATATGTCATGATATATGTCGGGGGAAGGATGGGGGACGCTTTGGGACGCGATTGTGGTGTGTGTTGAAACATCAATGTTATTGTCGGAACGATAGAAGTCGTCGGGACCGTTGTTTGCGAGAAGCCGGCATTTCTGAGTGGGACACCACCAGAACATTGTATTCCTTCATCGTTTCCGGGTGGCACCAGACATGACCACACTCTTTTTGAGAGCCATACACCATGAATGTGGAGCTAGATTGAGGGCAAAAGCGTGACTGCGGCGTCAACAGGACTTCGGAATGGGGAGGCGAAAAAAGCGGTTAGAGTTGAATACCGCTTCGTCGCTTCGAGCGCGGGGAGAGCTCGCGGGAGTGGGTGAAGAGAGGATAGAGGTCGCGTTGTAGACGGCAAAGTGTCAGGCAATTTGGCGCTACAAGGCCTTGAGGCGAGCGAATCGTGGGGTGCTTGTCGACGTCGAACTTCTATCTTTACTTGGGGTTCCATTTCGCCTGAACGACCAACTCCAAGGCAACACAAGAAGCTAGAGGCGTCTTGCAGTCAAAGTCGGACTTTGTCTGCTGTTACTGGTAAGCACACAAAGACCTGACAGTGCTCTGCGGCACTGACATGTCGAAACTGGCTACAAGGGCCACAATGGTGTTCCCGATTCTTGGGCAGAGGGTTCTTTGGTATGGCGGGCAGCGAAAAGGCGACGGCATCGATCAAGAGAGAAAAAGAGGGATAGGGTGTGGGTGTGCGAGATGTCGCGGGCTGCGGACAAGGGGGTTGGAGAGCCTGTAGCAGCGTGGTATCGGGGCGAGTGTGGGGGGAGAAGCGTCCGTCAAGGCCTTATAGCTCGGTGTGTGGGAAGGGCAGGTGGATTTCGAGTAGGGCTACGAGTTTCACTCAGACCCAAGCGAAGAGACAAAAAAGCAGGATTACGCACTCGGAGATTTGTCCTCCAAAACCATATTTAGCTCTTTCTTCGCACCCTCGCCCCTGCTGGTAAGCCATGTGTTGGTGAATGCTCATGTCGGTGTAACGAAGGTGGGGGTCAAAAGCAAAGAGTGAAGTGTAATGATCGCTGATCTTGCGGCTTTCCTCTTGAAATCATCGTCTGAGCCGATGGCCTCCCAATCCCTGCCGCCAGAGATTTGGCTGGATATCTTCGAGAAGCTCCCAAGAACATGTTTACCCGGCATCGTCAGCACTGGTCGGACATTCGCTGTCCTTGCTCGACCTCTTCTCTTCGCCCATTTCTACTTCGGCCCTTATGGCTTGCAATCACCAAATCCTCACGAATCGCGGCGCCAAGCCGTCTATCTCACACTAGGGCCGGACTTGCAACAATTCGATATTGACAGAATCGAGTTCTGGACTTCTGAAAATATCGCGCCACTTGTGCGTGAATGTTCCATCGTGCCCTGGGATCCGGAGGAAACGGATACGACATTTATCGTCGCGGAGGATGTTGCTTTACGTCTCCTCAACGTATTTTTCGACCGCATCCACCACTTCACACGACTACACACTTTCTCCGCGTACGACGTCACGCTGACTGGAGGCATGCTGTCGAAGATCTTCCATTGTCTTCCGAGCCTGACCAGCTTGCTGCTCAACTTGGGTGTCTCTCCGGTCTCGGAGTCCTTTACCCCTCGGTCCCTTCCACCCTCTCTCAACAAATTCATCCTCGAGATGGAGGACAATGAACTCTACAGTGCGGATAGCCTCCAGGCATATGTGCCGTTCTTCGTTCCGTCATCGCTGCGAGAGTTGTGTCTCTCAGGCCCATTGAACCTGTGGAGCACAAATCCAGACGCCATACCAACATTCTCCAACGTCCGGCGGCTGGCTATTTCCATATACCGCGAGGGCACCAACCCGAAATTGGCTGTCGTGCTGCCGAAATTTCCAAACGTGAAGTCTTTGTCGCTGTACGGCTTGGATGACACAGACGAGGTTTTTGACGCATACTGGCTGGACGACGTGGCCACAGGTTGCAAGGCCCTCTTGCCCGTACTGCAGATGGTTACCACGTACTTCCACATTCATTCCCCCGTGGTCCTAGCTATATTCATGCCCGGCTCGACATGTCTGACATGCTTCAAATACCACGGCAGACTGGAGCCGGACGCCCTGCTTCCTTTCTTCAGCACATTCCGTCTACCCTCCCTTGTCTCCCTGTCAGTCCAGCTTGTTGGCGTTGTCTCGCTTCACAGTCTCAAACCAATCTGGTATTGCTTTCCGGCCCTCAAGCACCTTGATCTTGGGTTCTCCTGCTATCTCTCGACAACACAACAAGCGTATGGCACATCTGTGGTAACTGTATCGCCCTCTTCATCGAATCGTGACTAACTATCTCAAGGCGACCGAGTTTCTGACCACCCTCTACACCTCCTCAACTCCGTGGCTTCCACCAATGCTGAAAACGCTGGTTCTCTCTTGGTCGTTTGCCTCTCAGAATTCCGCACTATACATGGGGTTTTATCACGCACCCATCGACCTGGCCTCGCTCAGCACCTTGCTCGTAGCACGTTACCCAGCACTGAGGACAATCGGGATCGACGGGGGCTCATTCCTTCTGAAATCGCGCAGGCGGGACCTGGACGGCTACCTGCTTGTGGAGAAGAGGAATGAGGACCGCAATGATCAGACACGTAAGTACCCATCCCGATCAGCATGACGAGCTAATACTTACATTGCATGGGGCTACAGAATCGTATTACACTCTTCGACAAGAGGTTAGTGAGCTCTGGTGGGAGGATGTACATCATGACTCGCTATTATAAGGCATAACTGTCTGTAAGTATGTGTTACAAACTTGAACTTGAAGTAGCATTTATGAAACAGAGGTTGAACTGGTGTTTGGAGGGTTCGATTTCATACCATAGCATACAACAATCAAGTCAGAACTATAGTAACTTTATCCTGACCGCTCATATAGAATCTCGGCAGGACTTCTATGAATCAGAGGATTGAATGCCCAATCGCAATGCTAAAAGGGTCTTACCGTTTTTCCACGCCCTAGGCAATACTGCGTTAGAAAAGACGAGTACTTTTGCAGACGTCATAGCCTACGTTTTCCTTCCACGCTATCTGCGCCGTCAACTCCGTCTTCCCGAACGAAAACACCATCTCAAACGGGAGCACGTAGTAGACTCCCTTGCGCCCGTGCAGAGGCTTGAGAGTTTGTGCCATCTCGTAAGTCTCTGCATGTACGGTGCACAGGACAGTATGGTTCTCTGTGGATGCCTTAATTTAGCGTAAGATCATACAGAGCTGGGAGGGCTACATACCCTTATCGACGTCGATCCACTTGGGGTTCTGGTTTCCTTGGTAGCGCCGAATGTCAACGGAGACACTGCACAGCTCCGAGCGGGACTGCTGCGTGAAACGAAAGGGTGAGCGGAACTCTTGCGTCTCGGAGACAGTCGTTCCCTTGAATGTGGAGTCACACAATACTCAAAGATGAAAACAGGACAGGCTTACGCGTGGTAGGATGGAGGAGAAGCCGTTGGGAACATACACTTGCCCATCAGCCAACGTTAAAAGTAGGTGTGAACGTGCTGAATGGTCAGGAAGATAAGCTTGATATGAGGGGAAGTGTTCAATTCCATATGTGTCCTTCGCAACCCGCGCGGAAACAAAGTGATCGAGGTAGAATGATACCGCACCGTCCGACACGGCCTTATTCCTTGCAAGATGATCAGCGGCATCATTAGCAACACCAACACCCAAAGACATACACGTGGCTATCGGGGCGCGATACATCTAGCCCCAAGGCGCCGAGACGCTGTTGCAGCTGGGAAAATAGCCACTCGCTAGCGGCAAAACCTCCAACGAGGAAAACACTCTGGGGACATCTTCAACACATTGATCACTCTCTCTATCTCTGGTTTAGGCTCACCGATATGTGTGCCTTGGCGCTCGCGCACTGTTTTTCAACAGCCTGTACGATGGCGTCTACCGAGGGCTCGAAGAACTTCGCCACAACCGTGCTATTCGACGTTGAGCAGACAGCAGAAAAGTAAAGGAGCACGCACCCAGGCAGCTTCATCTGTCCATTCGTGATGTTGAACGCCGGATCCTTGTCGCGCAGGGTGCCGAACCTGATGTACGCAAACTCGCTGGCGTTGCGGAATTTGAGTTTTGTGCTCTGGTCAAAGAATTCAGCAATTTCGGCGACCTCGGGGTGGTATTTGGAATTTCTGAGAAATACTATAGAAAGTATGAGAATGCGGGAGACGCTGAGGAGAATGGGCTGCTTGCCGTCGAGATAGTCGCGGCAATTCTTCGTCACGAAAACCGACCCGTCCATGAGACCTGGACGAAGGTCAGCGGATCACCGCAGCTGTACTTTCGAAACACTTACAGGCGGTTGGCGCAATTTCCTCAAATGAGTCGCCAGTTTTGCGATAGGCGCTGATATCGACCGTTCCACCGCCAGCATCGACGATGACTACACCCTTCCCTTCCTGAAACGGGGTTAAAAAAGGTACAACGACGATAGAGTGACGTACATTCAGAGGATCGGTGGCAAGCCCATTTAGGATACAAAAGTTAAGGCTCGCCTCGCCTTCCGTCACGAAATAGACACGGCCATGGCCAGCGGGCGTGTCCGGGACCAGCCCCGCTGCGATCGCGGCTGCCCGCAACTTCGCCTGCTGCTCCCCCTCCCACCCGTTAGGATGGGTGATGACAAACTCCATCGTGTCTTCCAGTGTGACCCACATGGCGGCGCCGTTGGGGTAATGCTCAGAGATGTAGGTCCGCGCACACTTGAGCAAGTAGCGAAGGAAGTCGGTGAAGATGTCGACAGTGGTTGTGTTGGCGGGGAGCGGGACGAGTTTGACGTCGGGGCGAGGAAGAGTTACGATGCCTGGCCGCATGTGAAGCTTGAACCTGGTAGAAAGATATTCAAGTTGTTGGTCGGAATATGAACAGACATACCAAGATGCTTTCACCCAGCCCTCTGCCTCGGCACGCTCTCTCGCACTCTCCTCCATTGCCTCAGCGCCGACCGCCTTGACAGCTCCGGTATTATCGTAGTAGGCTATCGATGGTACTTTCGAGTCCCCGCCGACAAGTGGCTGAGGAGGAAATCTGGTCTGAGATCAAGTCCTGCAAATGATTTACTGAAGACGCTCAGGCTGACCTAGTGACTGGTAGAATACTGCCGACCTTGCCCGGCTCGAGGAGGCTTCGCAGAAAATGAGTCAACTACAGGTTGCAATCGGTCGGCAGAAACTCACGAGTACGATATCCCAGAGAATGTCGTCCCCACATCGAAACCAAGGATGAGCTTGCGGTGGGTGCCGGTGTAGATGGTGCGTGAGGGCATAAGTCTGAAAGAAGCTCTGTGTGGGCGAGGACAAAGACGCGGCGTCTTTTAACGGGCGTTAAAGTGGTCGGAACGTGGCCACAAAGACAATGAAAGAGCATCGTATCGGCAACGTGCCCTCGATGAGGCCCTGTATATTACGTCTCGTCAGAGCGACTAGAACGGAGTTGCGTGTCGTTCCCACCCACCCATGTATGCTTTCGCCACCAAGATTTTGACCATGGTCTCCCCCAACCCGACCACGCCCACTGGCACAGAGGAGACTGCCCCGATTCGAGAAGCAACAACCCCAGCCAAAGTCGATTCCAAAGCGCCTTCAGCTGCCTCTCATGACCCTCCGTCGAAAGCGGGAAACCAGAACAAAGACATTATCGTTCCAGCTCTCTCCCAGCACCAAGAGGTCCCAAAGGCCACGGTCTATGAGTCGAAAGGAGTCACTGCCTGGCCGCGCGTCCAACCAGCTCAAGTCCGCTCGGGAGTCGAAGACAGTGCTCTGGCCGAGTTGCGGATTATACGCGCAGAGCTTCTCAACCACAAAGGGGCATCGCGCGAGAAGGATGGAGTAATCCGGAAGCTGCAAGCCGAGTTAGCGCTCGCTCGTCAGGCCGCGCAGAAAAACGACCAGTTGCAGACTGCGACCAACGAGGCCTCGACCGCGGATGTGGTGCGCAAAATGGACGACCTTTACGCGGAGATTTATCACATCGCCACACTTCTGGCCGATTCAGAAGCCCATCCTCGCCCTCCATCGACCAATTCAGCCTATGTCCTTCAGCAATCTTGGTCATATTTCGTTCACCTCGCCGGTCAAGACATGTTAAATGACATATTGCACCAGAAGCCATGCGAGGTTCCCGATGTCGTTGTCCAGATGCTGTTGCAGGCAGCAATGACGAGCTGGTGCGGACATATTCTGGAGTCGTGGGGTATGGGAGTGGTTTCGAGGGAAGTCGAGGAGATGTTGTCAGCTCTAGGCGCAACTGTGAGGAAGAACGGTTAGTGGTCCACGTTGTGCATGAGAAAGTGTTAATCGAGACGCACCAGAGGACCCTGTTGACGCCTCACGCTGGAGAGCACTCACCCACAAACATCTCAAAGCCCTCTTCGTTCCCCAACCACAGCAACTCGCTGGCGAGCTCAATCTCCACGTCACAGCCATCCTGCAGCTCACCAACGCCGAGTATACCGCCGAACGCGTCACGTCCTTGGTCGGGGAGCGCCTCGCATCCGTTGTCGGAGCTGTCCTCGATTTGCAGCACACAATCGGGGCAAAAATGGTATCCGATGACCTGCAGGTGCTTAGTGTTACACCAGGCAACATACTCGATACAAGGGCGATGGAAAACATGTGGGATGATGGGCGCAGCAGACGTACCGTGGTGGAGGACTTCGTTGTCTTTACTACGGGGCTTGGTCTTGTGAAGAAGGTGCCTGGATCCGCGCATGGTGTTATTCCGCTAGCCAAGGCCAAGGTACTTCTGAAGTCTGACTTGAAGGAGTGCTGGGGTGCGGAAAACTTAGAGAAGTAATTCTCCGTAGCAAGTTCCGAGTCGAGTGCTTGTGGTTGTGGTTAAGTATCAAAAGCAAAATTTGTCACGCAAAATCATCACATTACCCACTGGCAGGCGTTATATACAATAGAGCAAAGCAACAGAGAGCGGCTAGGAGCCTCGCAGAAGGAGAAGAAGAATGTGTAGGTTCCAACGTGGGATAAGAGAAAGAGGCTCAGGTAACGTCCGTGACATTCTTCCTCCCAACTTTCACGTCTATCGTCAACCTCGTCCAAAACCGTGCCAAACACGGCGAATCTCGCAAAGTAGTTGGACTTGCAGGAAGGTGGATATGGTAGCTGGCTAGAAAGCATGGATATCTTGTGCGCCGTCATGTTTTTCATCGCATCTTGAAACTAACAGGCTTCACTGTAGTGGTAGCGAGCCGCCTTGAATCATCACTCTCCCATTGACCCTTACGCACTATCGCATGGCAACTGTGTCCCCGTAGGCCCTTCAAGATATTCAAGCTCCATTTGGGCTGCATAGGGCATACCATTCTCCCCCGAGCTTTATGACACCGACCTTCTCACTGCGTGTACACAAAACCTACCCCACCGTGGTCCTGCTCGACGACAAGTACGAGATTCACGCTCAATTGGTGCCGTTCTGCGACTTTTCAGAAGCGTCGTAGGCACTTTGGCCAAAGTCCGTCCAACCACCTTAACACACACATCAACTCTATTCCGTATACAATCCCTCGACGTCCTTGTCGACCGTCCATGAATTCCCGCTTGGTCGTTACCCTCATCTTCCAAGCCCCCATTTGCCAACGTCATCACTCCAACGCCTTCTTCCTGCGACCACCCCCTATATCCATCTTACACCGGCTGTCTGAGGCTCGGTCCTCTCGCGCCGCCAGCATCATCCTCGACTCCGACCGTTTCTTCCGCCCCACCTTTCCGCAGTCATGTGCCATGTCACAGAGGTCACCGTCACGCTTTTCCGCCCGTTTTGGCAGCATTGTACCTCCCCACCCATCGCGGCTGGCCCTTAACTGCATGTCTCTGCGGCTGCGCAGACATGTATTGCGCCTACCGAATTCTTGCTGCCCGTCAATTCGACCCGGAAGGCGGTCGTTGGACGCGATCTTGCGTGCGATACATTCGGCGCTGCAGCCGAGCTTTCTGTTCCGATAATCGGTTTGGGGGCGGCGGAGCGATATCTTCTGCTGCAATACAACATTGTAGTCCGACCTATCTGGACTTTCGCCTTAGAAACGCAGAATTCCGGCGGACAGCGGTCTTTTACGACTTCAAGCGATCCAGGAACACGATGCGCGCAGAATACGCGCTTCTCAAACCGTTCCTCAACCCTCCCCGACCGATATCATAGCATATTCAACGGCTTCCGACTCTATTTCCCGCCCATAACCCACTTTTTCGCCTCGCCTTCTTTTTACGCTCGATTTGGCGACCTTGGAACTGCACCATCCGGAAGCGCTTCGTCCTCAACCGACCGTAATCCCGTGCGCGCCAGCAGGTACTGCGCTCCCCCAATTCATACCTCCCGGGCCTATGGAGCGGAAGGCCCTCGTTGGAGACGTTTTCGTCGGCGATGGATCTTGCGGAGGGGCCGTGTTTGGAGGGGCGTTGGGATGATAGGCGCGGCGGAGGGGTATTATATACTGGATATGCGCCACTTCGTGCGACAACGAGAGCCTCGCGGCCGATAATCTTCCCAGCATTCTCACAGGCACGCCTAGCCTGCTTCGACCGTTTTCTCCGCTGTCGTCAGCACGACCACCAGCCCGGCAGCGGGTCTGCTGGGGCATCGTCAGGGACGCAAGTGGGTGCGCGGCTGTCGCGTTCATGCTATGAGGCATTTTGGACGGTTCTTGTCCGCGTTGCGTCTTCAGCGACAAGCAATACGGATACGCGATGTCTGCGAAATGTAGTAATGCAATGAACAAGCCACGTTCGATGTGCGCGAGGGAGGAGAACTCGGGGTCCAAGTTATCCCTTTGAGCAATTTCTCGTCTCTCCCAATTGCAATACTACTCACTGCCTGGACCTTGCAATACCTGGAACTGCCCGCTCTCCCCGCATCAATATCTTATGCATATGGACTGCCAGCACTGATCATGAACGGACCCGGACACGTCTGCCCACTGTGCTCCTCTGCTGTTCTGCGTGTTAACTTTCGCAATGCGAGTCCCCGGATCGAATCGGGGCTGCGGGTTATATTGCAGTCTAAATCCTAGTCCGGAGCATTTGCCGCTTTTTCTTCCGAGTCCTGTGCATATCCTATACGGACGGCGGATGGCTGGCCCTTCATAGTCCTCGACTTCTAGCGCTCCCGATGCGCTGCAAATATCAAGATTCAAGATTCAACGAGATAACGCGCACATTAACACATAACTCGACCACAATTACGCAGAAGGACAAACACAAGATACAGGCAAGGCTACACGATGGAAGTATACGTACCACGCGGTGACACGGGGAACATCGAAGACGGGGTGGAAGAAGGATCAGAAGAAATGCGGCTCCGCCGGCCTCGGCACCGGCACGGCCACCTTCTGTGGCCCGGCCGGCGCCGACTCGCGGGCCAGCGGCTGCATCGCGAACGCGTCGGCCGGCTTGTTCGCACTCGTCATGCCGTACCATGGCCACTCGGCGGACTCCGGGCTGCGCGCGATGTCGAGCGTGGGCCCGGGGCTGGTGTACCCCGCCGTCACGCGCCGGACGGTCGGCCGGGGCGAGCGGGACAGCTGTGCGTCGTAGTAAGTACGATTGACGGCGGATGGCGGGGTGGGGCGGGACACGCACGTGCATCGTCGGCGCGAGCTGCGTGTGCCACCTCGCCGCCCCGCCGGCGCCGGTGCGCGACGTCGCGGGCGAGGGCAGCATCTGCGGGCCGCTGCTGCTGCTGCTGTTCTTGCCGCTGCGCGGCGTGCGCGAGTTGAGCCTGGGGATGCGCGCTGAGCAGAGCGATGGGCAGGAGGAGGGGGCGACGCACATTGCGAGGACGGAGCACGTGTACAGCATCGAGAGCGGGAAGTCGACGATAAAGTTGCTAGCGAGGCGGATCATCCACTGTGAGGTCAATGCGGAGCGGCCGCTTACGTTGTGCCGGGGACGAACGACGCCAGGAGGATATCCGCGATCGCCGCGACCGCCGTCACCGCGCCCGTCTCGATCGTCACTACCAACATCAGCATCTGCTTCCCGCACACAGCACGACCACCGCGACTCACTCCTCACAATCCGGTTAATCTGCCCGTCCACCCCGCCGAACCCCGTCCTCCTTGTCAACTACGCCCACCATCAATCAACGCCCGAGATCACAACAAGCGGCGGAACGGCACGCACCAGCGCATGCGTCATCCCCACCGCGACCAGCACGTCGCACGCCGCCGTCGCGACGAGCCACGTGATCGCCTCCGTCGCGAACGCGGGGAAGTCGCGGAAGTGCGCGTGCGCGAAGACGTTTGCCGATAGGACGAGGCCCGAGGCTTGCGCTAAATATCAGGGGGTTTTCTGGATGGAACGGCGTGGAGGACGCACCGAAGGACGCGATGGCGAAGAGGGAGATGATTGACGGGAGGATGTACGAGTGGGTTATCACTGGGGGGTGTCAGCGGAGGGATGCCAGTGGGAGGGGGGAATGGACCTTTGATCCGCCACGCGGTGAATAGCTGGATCGGGGTGGAGACGAGGATGATCAAGAGCGAATCTGCAAGTTTGGCGTGTAAGCAGACGAGCCGAAACCGGAGACCGCCGTACCTGCAGGGAAAACTGCGCGCCAACTTGGATCGGCGACCTGACGCACGGAGAGCGGAAAGACGTACACGCAGGGCGGTTCTGCAGCGCCAGCGGCGATCCTGCATCCATGATCCCTCAGTACACCGGCCTCCATAAATAGCGGAGCACCCACCGAACTCCTGGATGAGCGGCTGGTAGATGATCCCCACCTCCGCGACGACGACGGCGGTCTCCGCGAGGAAGAGGTACAGCATCTGCGCCCCCGTCAACTGCTAGCCTCACAGAATGGACTGGATCCTGGTACGCACGAACAGGCGGATCCAGCGAAAATCGCTGAGGGCGTCAGCTATGCGTGGAGCGGACGAAGGGGGGGAGGGAGGCGCACTTGGGGAAGCGTTGGTAATACGCGAACATCTGCGATTCTGTCAGGACCACGAGAAGTGACGAGACGGAGTGGGTACTTGTGCTGTCATCACCTGCAAGAGCGGTTAGCAAAGCTTCAATACCAGACTGTGACGCACGCCGTAGAGGCCGATGCTGAGCAGGACGCCTGGCACGTAGATGTGAGTCATGCTCCGCTGCACAGATCAGCAGTGGCAAACCGAACAGCATCGGACCTAAACTGCCAGTGCAGAATGCCATGTCAGAGAAGTGACTTTCCCGAGAACGGGGACGACGCACACGAGCTCGGCTCCAGGGCCGGGCATGGAAGCGAAAGACGTTTATCAAAGGAAGGAGGGGGAGGAAAGACAACGGGATATACCCGGGCCAGTTGGCAGCAGGGAAAACAAGGGGAGTACGAACGAACGAATGGGAAGGGGCCCCGCACCCATACGGGGGGCACATTTATACCCTGCTCCACGGATTATTACACTGGCTGGAGATCGCACGGTGCCCGCCAGCGAATCGCGCGGGCCAATGGCCTTCCTGCTCGGCTGTCGGGCAGCTAGCTGGGGGATCGTGATCGTTACTGACGGGCGGATGAATGGGTGGGTTTGATAGTTCGGAGCAGGCCCAGGAATAGCGCATACTGGAATATCTGCGGCAGCGGCGATCCCGCGTGCGCAGAAGACAGAAGATGGCGAAGACGCGCGTGCTGTGTCCTGCTTCTTCTTCTCTTTGGAACCGCGCGTTGGGGTGTTGACTGGTATCGTAGGGCCAGCGAGCTACCCAGGGGAGTCGCGCGGCTGGAGCTGGAGCTCCCGATCTTTCGTGCCTTCTGTGATCGTTGCTTGTATAGGTGGCGGCCCCGGCGGGCTATATTTACCCTGCCCGGACGGAGGCCCTTGTACTCCTTCGAGCTTCGACTTGAAACCGCGTTTCGACTAGGGACAGTGGGGTTGTAGCGAGGTTGGCGGGAAGCAAGGCTGCAAGGGATGAAGCGCGTTTGCGAGGTGTTTCGCACGGGGGCCGGGCGGGACAGGCATAGGAAGTACAACTTGAAGCTAACGCTCGCCGCCCGCAGAAGGCTGCTCGCCCGGGGCGGGCGCGGAGGTGCGGGCAAGAAGTCGGTGCGGGGGGATGCGGAAGAAGACAAGTCACAAGTCAAATCACGCCATCTGCACTCTTTCCTCTTGCCAGTGACGACGACGACCATGGGCATGCCCCTCCTCTTTCCGGGCCCCTCCTCTTTCCGGGCCCTTTTTATAGCGGGCCCGGCCTAGGACGGGCCTAGGAGCCGAGAGACGACGCCCGTCGCCATAACCCGCCCATGTTTTTGCGGCTGCCAGACGACGACGACGACGAGTCGGGCACGCCAGGCTGCCATGCGCGGTCTTCCGCCGCTGCTGTCGTGCACACGGTGTGTCCCACAACGTTCTCGCGGCGGTGGTCCTGCCCGGTCTACTTAGTACTCATGCAGGATCCCGCCCGACCACAGACTGGAAAGCGCCCCGGTGTGTCCTCGTAGCGTGCTGCTGTCCACTCCTAACCTATTTTTCCTCTTCTCCGCACTATCTGGCCATGGACAGCGGCAAGTGTAGTGTTGTGGACGGTCCAGGGAAGACGTGGAGGCAGATGTGGGGCTGACCACAGGTGCGTCCGTTAGGCCGTCCTTTCTTTCCGTTGGGCTTGCGGCTTAATCTCGCGGCGAACAGATACGATTTCGCTGTCCCTTTCACGCCTCTCTGTGCTCGCCAGACACTGTTTTTTTCCCCGTCTATTATGATATATCCTCCCCTTTCCCCACTATGCTGCCACTCCGTCCCTCCTACATGCATCATGCATTCCTGCGTGCCCGTCCTAAATGCACTACATGTTCATATCCTTCTTCCCGCTGTACCGGTAATTGGTTCGCTATATACGGGATGTGGGCGGGGACATGTCTGTAATATCGACCCACCCCAGGACCGAGGCCGATCAAACCTCCCCTGGGAGCGCCATGTCGCTATCGGCACCCGTTCGTCGCTCCGCCGCGGTTTGACCGACTCTTTAGGACTCACATTCCTCTTTCCCTTCCCTTCAGTTTTACCCTGCCCTCTTTCCCCTTCCTACGTTTCTCGCTGCCTATGTCGACTCTTCGCAAAGGAAGGCGGGCTCGTATAAGATGTTGTGGCTAGCTCGCGATGTAGCGCCGACCCTTTCAAAATTCATGCTATGGCATATGTGTATGCTTTCTCACAGCTGTGATTCAAGAATGTTTAGGTGGGAAATGTTAGTGGGAATATATAAAGCTTGCATTTAATTTTGTATGGTGTAAAAAACTTTGTTTTTCTGCTTTACTTGGCTGGGGTGAACAGATTTTTAGGACCAAAATATTTAATCTTTTGCAATGAGTTTTTGGGCCAAGAAAAATTTTATATATTCCCACTAATGTTTCCCACCTAATAAACATTTTTGAATCACGGCTGTGTCTGTGTCCTTGTCATTGGAGTCCTCGTTCCTGTGCAATGAGAAGTGTTGAAGTTGAAGTCATATCCGCTTACCATACTTGCACATGACCGCTTGGTAATAACCAATGCGCTTGGTAAGGACTGAATACTCGCTCAGTCATCCTCTACCTTTACTTACTCATCGTACTTATAAATCGTAGTCAACGTAGTGTAGTCAGCATAGCTAGCCTGAGTATATATACTGAGTAGTCTAGCTCGTCGTCTCTCCAGTCCTGTTGTTATTCACACAGTTCTGGTGAGTTACTTACATGCTTTCCTCTATCTTACATATGCTTATGACTCTATGTAGATATCGTCTTGTCAGGTATATACTCAATTCAGTCCTGTTGTTATTCACACAGTTCTGATATCGTCTTGTCAGGTTATGGGCCCCGCCCCTTCTCCTGCATAAGGCAAGTCCTTCTTGCTCGGATCGGTGCTGCCTCTATTGTACTGTCCTTTATTGGACTGTCCAATTTGGACATGGCATGGCACTTTGTGTCAAGGCTAGTGTTGCCCCTTTACCTACACAAAGCCCCCTCTTTTTACCTATTATTTCTTAACCTAGTATTGCCATTGCCGGCCCTGCTCTCACTTCAGGTTCAAGCGCATAGCCAGTCCTTCCCCAGTGGGGTAAATTCATAACAGCAATATGACGGTTCAACACCGATCATTCTGGCTAGCGACCAGGCCCTGTCAGTGCATGTCAAACTCGATCAGACCTCTGCATAGAAGGGATTGTTGGGGACATCTCCTTAGGGAGTTGCGAGGCTGTGAGATGCTGTCCTGAACAGAAAAGGGTGGACCTCTGTCCTCGTGTGGCAGATGTGTCAAAAGGGAATGATTGCCCATTGTGGTCGTCATAAACACCCTTCGGCGGCATATACTATACTTAGATAATTACGTAGTCCTTGGGACAAGCCACCTAAAACAGTTCTTGGACGAACTGGACCATGTGGGCAACACAACTGCGTGCATGGGGCATCTGGGTCCCTTGGATAGATAGACTTTACCTTTCTTCTGGGGCATTACATATTTGGGGCACACTATGCTAGGCCTTTAGTACTTGGCACTCTGTTGACTGTAGGGTCACAGAGCACTATCCACCTCTCTCTATTGTTTACAACCGATCTGACTTCCTTTGAAGTATCAGATTAAACTGGATCCATCGTCTACACCAATTCTTTACTGGTACCCCGGTGATTACTGACGAAGAACACTCTTACTACAACTCTTTGAACACCAGTGGAGGATATAACTCTGCTGAGCTTTACGCTGTAGGAGACCACGAAAATCCAGATTTCGACGATTACGCCGAAAATTACTCTCCTGAACTTCATCGACTCTTTGGTACTCCTTACTATCCAATCCCACCAACTCTCCAGGAACTAGTTGCGCTAGAAATGTCGCTTACTGGTACTGTTTCAACTGTCATCCCAAAGTTGGATGGCACCAATTATCAGGTCTGGGAGGAGAGTATTTGAACCTCCTTATGATCCAGAAAGTGTGGGGGCATACTGAAGGAACCATTCATCGCCCTGCAGATGACCAGGTAGAAGTCCTAGCCAAATGGGACGAAGCCAATTGGGTCGCTGTTGGTCTCATGAAGGCCCATATGACCAATACCCTGCAGAGAGAATACGGCTCCAAGGTCAGCGGCACTACCAAGGTCAAGCGAAATGCCAAGGAGCTTTGGGATGCTCTAGCAGAAGCTTTTAGCAAAACAGCTGCAGTAGAAGGCTTTTTGCATTGGAAGCTGCTCAACTCCTACAAGTTTGTTGGGGGAGACTCTGGAGAAGCAAATCGACCAGATGGACACCCTTCGTAACTCTGCTATCACTGCTGGCATGGAGGTCACTGATACCCAGTATTCTCTTATGCTTTTGTCGGCACTCCCTGCTTCTGAAGGCTGGGTAACTTCCTACCTTGCTAACACTGCAGCCGACAAGCTCAAGCCTGGTGTGGTCAAGCAGACGATCTTGACCACAGTCAAATTCAACACTTCCCAGGGCGAAGGATCAGCCCATAATATTTCCACAGTCACTCGTCTTCCTGGCAAGAAGAAGTGTGAAACTTGTGGGGGTAATCATCCTTCGAACCAATGCTGGGTCAAGTACCCTGAGAAGCGCCCTAAGCATCATAAGGGCAAAGGCAAGGGTAAAGGCAAGGGCAAAGGAAAGGCCAATGGGGGTAGTTCAAATGTAAACAATGCTGTTGCTTCTGGTCCGGTACCAATACACCTGTTTTCTCCGCTTATATCAGAGTGAGCGCAAGTGAAGCAGTAGCAAACCACGATCATATTGATGATCTTGTGGCTATATCAGAGAGAGGTTTCCTTCAGGATTCTGGATGTACGAACAATGTGTCTAGTTATCCTGAGGATTTTTACGAGATCGACTATGATCACCCAATGCGTGGACATATCACCGTAGCCGATGGTTCGAGACATGCCAGTCTTGGCGTAGGTACCATAAAAGTCCGAAACCATGGTGAAGTCCTTGAATTTAAGGATGTTATATACAATCCTCATGTCAAAGGTCGCTATTTATCCGCATCGCCCATGGACCACGCCGGCTATACTTGGGTTATTAGGAACGGTTTATGCCAGATTACGGATGCAAAGTATTTTACTTCTGGTGGCCGTTCGGGCAAAGTTTTTATGGAGGGTCGTAATATCCACGGACTCTACTGGTTTATACCAGATGAGATCATCAAACCACCTTCTCTCCATGTTGCATCCAAGCCAGAGTCTACTTATCTTTGGCATAAGCGTCTTGGCCACGCGTCTGAGAGGGCTGTTCGTCGCCTGCCTACACAGGTTGATGGCGTCCCTCCTC